GTGACACCCATATCTCGGTAATCAGAAGGTATTAACCCAAACCCAATACAGATATAGATCCGTCGCGAGAAGCTCTACAAAACCTGATATATAGCTTTCTGCTTCAACATAATTTTGAAAACCGGCAAGGTCCTTTGTAAATATTCTTTGTGGCAGCAAATCCAGCATTTGAAGTGGAGCTTGGTCAGTCCATTCTATCCAGTAGCATTCTATGTTATGTGACAACTCTCCATGACCTAAAGCAGTTTGTAGAGATATTCGTCAAACTCGCGCAATTAAAATATGCCCATTTCTATTTGAAGAACAGTGGTCGACTGAACAGTGGTCTTATTCTTTTGACAATTGAAAATCAAAGTTTGTTGCACAATTTATCGGTTTATGCACTCGATCGAAAGTGTTTTGTCATGTGGTTTTGAACAATTTCTTGTGTTTGTAATAAATAATCAGGATGTGTATTGCGATGAGAGCAAAAAGCATTTGTTCCTTGGCATTCCGTTGGCTGTTCCATTTTTAGATATGGTTTTTGAAAATAAATCTTTTAAAAAACATTAATTTTCAATAACAGTATCAAAATAAGCCCAAAACTTAATCGTTATCTCGGGAAAAGAGGATAAACAAATCTAAAACGCGTGCAGATACATTTGTGGCTTCAAAATACAAGCACATACATCTAGTTGCGTTTTTTCATTCTAAAGAAAACTCAGGCGCATCTGAAAGAGAAATAGTATTATATGCGTGCAGATGCATCTGAGGCTTAAGACGCGTTTCGGGCGTAACGGGTGTTACAGAAAGAATGATGTAGTTTTTATTTTCAGTTTTTCTCTCCCTTTGAACTCACAGAGCTCAGGTTATTACCGAAAGATTCACCATTCATTTCTCTACAAAATGGTGTATAGAAGACGATCTTAAGGTTTAAGACGCTGTCCTAATTGAATAAACATCGAAATGTCCGAAAAACTTAGAAAATTTAACAAAAAAAAGTGTATTTCGTCCGTATGAATTGAAACGTATACGTTGTATCTCGAGCAAGTAGGCCAAAATGTATCCCTTAAAATTATCTTCCGATTAGCTATAATGCGCATTTTCTATCGTTATTTCTGTGTTTTCAGTAATGATTTTTGCAAAAGCCTTATGACTGTTTTATCAGCTTTTTTAGTCTGCATTTTGGGGCTATTTGTAAAATGAATATTGCTCACGTCAGATAAAACTGAACCAATCAGGTTCATTCCTGCGTCATTTTAAAGAAAAATGTTTGGTCTAGTCGACTCGAGTGCGAAACGCTTGATGTAACTTTTCTGAATAATCGCGATGTTGAAACTGGCGTATATTGTTCAGCAATGGCTGCCAGTTATTAACCAGTCATTTTTACCACATCAGATCGCTAGAAGGAAATGAGTCTTGCGCCATCTGAACGTCCTAAAAAATTATGTTAGCATCTTCTTCCAATCACTTTCAAAATGGAGTTCAAACTTCAAAATTTAAATTTTTTAAGTTTTTCATACATTTCGATGTTTGTTCAATTAAAACAGCATCATAAACCCTGAGATCATCTTCTATACGCCATTTTGTAGAGAAATGAATGGAGAATCCTTTGGTAATAAAATGAGCTAGCTCTGTGAGTTCGAAGGGAGAGAAAAGCTGAAAATAAAAACTACATCATTCTTTCTGTAACACTCGTTAAAACATATGGAGTCAAAACAGATTTGACTGGAGTTGTTTTGCAGACGACTTGAAGAAAAATCTTTTTTGCTAGTTACTTATAAACATAAGGACATGACTAATCCAAAAATATCTCTGCTCAGGTCTCTTCCGTTACCGAGATAAAAGACATTATTTCCTAAAAACTGACTCTTATTTATTGCTCCGAAGGCAAGATTTTTGGTGAAATTGATTACTTAGGCAGCTGTAACTTTGTACTTAAATTCTCTGACAGTTGTAATTTTATAAAAACGTCTTCGAGAGAGCGCGCAAATTTCGGGCTTTTTCCAGTTTTAACCACTTCCGGTTTTTTCACGTTTTCTACCAAGGAAAACTAAGCTCGCACCTAGCAACATGTCTCTATACTGTACTCAAGCTACTTATGGTTATTTTATTCATAAAATTATGATTATCAGCCGGCAGAAAAAGTGGTTATTTTACAGATAATGTCTTGTATCTCGGTAAAAGGAAAAGATCTGAGAAGAGATATTTTCGAATTAGTCATGTCTTTATGCTTATAAGTAACAGTAAAGATTTTTCTTCAACTCGTCTGTAGAAAAACTCCAGCCAAATCTATTTTGACTCGATATGATAAGCGTCGAAAAGCTTTTACGTACATAGAAGGATTGTTTTATTATAAGATTGTGAACTATAAAAATGATCAAATATTTATTATCGTTAGCTGGTAGTCCAATTGGACAACTGTTTCAGATGAATAATGCTATCAGTAATATCATTTACCATGTCATTTCCCTCTGATATAATGGCCTAGGCTGCAACTGTGTAGAATGACTATTATTATTTGTCTTTCTTAAATAAATAAAGTTTAAACTAAACTAATAATGTTATAATCATCATAATAATTATATGAACATTCCTGATTATATGATGAAAAAAAAAATATACTAATAAATAAACCTGTGGTAGTACCTGAACCTTGCATGCTGTTGATGTTTTTTTAGTATATATAACATAAGATTCTGAATGAAAACAAATTTTTCATTCCTTGTTACTTCACAAAACTTGAAACTACATATCTAAGGTATTAAGATACAGTGCAATTACACCAGATTAGAAGGAAAAGAGAGGTCAAATCATTCACGTTTATTGGTTTATGAAGGTAAACGTTATTTCTACATTGAATCACAAAAGAAAAAAAAGAAAATTGGTTATGTATGCATGGATGAATAGAAAAACGTGGATGAGATAAAGGTGAAATATTTTACATGCTTCGACTTTGTTTGATGCATGAATGATCAAAATAAACATCTTATATCTTCAATATGTACGATCGAAATTAAATATTTTAAGTTCTTATTCTAAAACTCATAAAATGTAATTTGATTTAGGAATAATCTGCAATGGTTATAGTAGACAAAAAAATTTATTTTCTGCATCTCATATATATTTCTAAGTCATTTTAGATTAAAAAAAAACATTTTCTCTACTACTTACTGATAAAAGAGAAAAAATATGTTGGGAAGAAGAGTCCATTTTAAACTTATAATATCAACTATCATTAATATTTGTTTGTTAGTTACATTGATTTTCAGTTATAATAATCTAACCAAACCGCCTAATAATGATACAAGTGATGAGGAACAGTCAATTACAGTTAAAGATAGATTATATGGTAATAATGAAAAATATTCATCATTCTATTGTACAGGCAGTATGAATAGACCAGAAAAACTTGATCAACGTGTTTGTTTATTTCGTAATATTTGTTATGATAAACATATAAAAGAATTTAATTATTATAAACCAATAACATCAAATAAACATCCAATATTATTTCATCCTCGAGATGGTTTAATATATAACTTTTTTTATAAACAATTTAAATTTGTTAGAATTGGTACGGCTTATAGAGAAGCATTAAAAGAACAAAATTATTTTTCTCCAATAATTATTAATGGATCACTTCCAATTAGTGATAAAAATACAATTTATTTATCAACTCTTCATGTATTATGGAAATGGTTTAATTTACCAAATTTTAATCTTGGTCATACGCTTTGGGAAGATATTGCATCAACTTACATATCAATGATGAGATTAAATGTATACAGTCGTAAAGCTGTTTTACTTAGTCTATATCCATTACCAAATAATAAATCATCAGAATATAGTAGAATTTTCTCTCAAGTATTACCATCATTTATAAATAAATATTTATCATTAAATGATTATAAAAATAGATATGTATGTTTTAAACAACTATTAGCAGGTGGAAATGTAAAAATATTTGATTATGAAGAATCAATTCAAGGTAGAGAATCTTTATTTTATAATTTTCGTACAATGATATTAAAATATCATGGTATTGATTTAAAACATCCACCAACAAAACATCGAATATTACTTGTAAATAAAACACACTCAGGATGGGATAAAAGAGTACGAACGAGAAGAACAATTTTTAATTTAGCTGAAGTTAAATTATATTTGGAAAAAACATATCCTAATATACCCGTTGATGTTATTGTACCACAACAATTACCATTTTCTCAACAATTAAAAGAATTATATAAAACAACTATTCTCATAACACCATGCGGTGGAATAAGTGCTTTTATTCCATTTCTTCCTCGACGAGCCTATGCTATCATAATGGATTATTATGCTTCATACAATTTTATTAACCATAAAAAAGGTTAGAATACAGTAGAATTAAAGTGTAATATCGTTAAAAATTGAATGTATTATATTTAGGTGATAGTGCTTCAATGGAAGGAGTCGTATGGAACCATTTTCCTCATATAACAAAACTCTACTATCAAATTTACAATTCATCTGATTGGGTATGGGATCTACCAAAAACAAATAATACAAGAATTCATGCATCAATAGTTATTAAAATGCCAAGACTCAAAAAACTAATCGAAACAGCTCTTGAAAACTCAATTTTTGCAACAATGTAAAGAATGATCATAGTAGAAAATTGTTACGAAGTAGGAAAACAGATAAGACAAAGAAGAAAAAATCTTCTTCTTCTGATACTGATAGTCTGTTTATTTTCTATGGCTAAGAAGCACCAATTAGGAAATATAGACAAGAATGACAGAAAATTGTATCTCAATGGCGGACAATCGTCGAGTTTTGTCAACTGACATGTCAAACTGTCAACGACAAGACAGTACTATTTGTCAGCAGCAACTTTGTCTTACCTCAAGCACTTTCATGGCAACTCCTTGAGCTTCAAGTGCAGTCCTTCGTTCAATTATTTCAACCCACTGGCACTCATATGAAGAACAACACACGTAAATCAACTACTGACCATTCATTCACTACGTTTTGATGTGCACTCCATTGATAAGAGTCAGCAGTTTTTCGGCCCATTCATTCCGAATTACTCTACTAGATGGCTCCTACCCATAAAAAAATTTAAAACAAAAAGACGTGTTCAATCGCGTTTTGTTTTAATCGAACATGTTTTCGCTCGACTTTTTGCGTGTTTTTATAAAGCGTTCAGACGCGTTTTTTGCTAATGAAGACGCTAAAAGCAGTTTTAAAAACGGCACAGTTCAAATGAAAAAAAACTATAGTTCAAAATGGAATTTTACTTTGGCCTACGCCGATATTACATTGGAGTGAATTTCACTTTGGACGATATATACCTATGCATAGATATGCATACAAACGACTATACAACTTAGTACAGTGACAAAGGAGAGAAAGAAAACAACTTGTACTTACATGACTTCATTGGGATTCGAACGTGGGTATCTAGAATTAAGAAGCAAACACATAACCATCTGAGCTAACAGACGATCGAAACATATACAGTAACAATGCCATGTGTTTCGATCATGTCAGTCAGACAAAACACATAATGTTTTCTTCTTTATTCTATGACTTCTAAGTTTCATTTACAAAGTAAATAAATCTTTTCGCACAAAATAAAGTATTCCTACAGACAATTATCTCCTTTCTCATATTTAACTATATGTTTGAGAGAAATTAAATAATCTGTCTGTCAGGTCGATATTCGCGTTTTTCCTTTAATGTAAAGATGAATTCTGATACTGAGTTGCATTTGATTAAGAAAAAAGTCGCCAGGTGTCAGTGACTTTTTGAGATGGGATGTTTCTCCTCGTTAGGTTGCTATAGTTCACCGACTTTTTATTATAACAAAGCAAACATAAATTAAGATGAATGGTGAATTTTGTGTGGACAATACTACTATGAGGCGATTACTATACTGTGTCCGAATGACACCTCGTTCTCACTTCAAAGAAAAATGTATTTCCTGATAAAAAACGCGTTTTGAGCGAATTAAAACATTTGAACATTTGAATGTTACTTTAATGAGACGTGTGTTCACCGCATTCAACCATGTATACTGTTCTCGTAAGCCTTAACACCCGAAAGTGAAGGTTCTCTTTGAAGTTGAAAAAAGTCATTATGATTTTTGAAGAATTTGTTTTTTATTGGCAATACATTTTCTCTTGTGAACGCGCTGCTACTTGATTTTGCGCTCATGTAGCCTTTTTTCTTTTCTGTTTGTGTGTACTGTTGAAAAAAAAACAGTTTACTGTGAGACAGTAAGAGTTTACAACCATTTACCTTTTTTCAAGCGTTTTCTGTCTAATTTGTTATACTGATGGCAGCAAACAACAACAATAATAATCTATCAATTGCTCACGTTATTGAGGAACTACTAGTTGGTCTTGACAGCCGGATGACTCATCGTTTTACAGTTTATTTTAGTCTAGCACCCTCCACGTATTTTGCTGCAGTTGTCCGCCTCGAGAGTTTGTTAGCATATTTTTATTCTCAATTCTAATCGTCTAATAAAAGAATCCAGGGACTAAAGTGAGTTGAGTATTTTGTACAAGTTACGGCAAGAGAGTGTCACAAAATAAACCGAAATGGCTGACGGTACATGGTGATCTATAGACAGGACAAGACTTTTTTTCATGTATACTATGTAAAAAGATAGTCCATGTGTATAGATTTGATGGCTCAGTGGAATAGAGCAAAGTATGATGAATATTCTTTTCTTCATCGTGGGTTCGATTCCGATTCACTATAGACAAATACACCAGTGTCGTCGATTTCTGATTAAAATTATCTGTCTAATCCTGCAACTTCTTTAATTTTCACAAAACCCCTAGTGTCGAAATCCAATTTCCTATCAGAATGGTTAGTAGCATTTGTCTCACTGTCTGTATTACTGTACATTATTCCTCTTCCTACCAACATCGACTGTTGGTACAGAATCATCAACATTCTCTCGATCCTGATCCGTTATTAACCAGAAAAATTGACCCACGGGACCCAATCACATTATTTTTCTCGGTTAAAATTCATCAGCGAATACGTCTATCGAATGTGTTTTCAATATTTCTTCACTGGAAATAGAATTACAAATAACGTTTGTATTATTACTCGGACTCCTCGTTGCTGATGGACTGTCGGACTCCTTCGGGCAATGAACTGTACACTCTAAAAAAAAATACGACTTCAGCGATGTGTCTGCCGAGAAAAAGTGTCTTGTATGTCACTAGATTGCGACTTCAAAATAGTAAGTGTCTTCTATATGTCTTCAATGTGTCTACTGGTAGGCACATAGAAGTCCCACTGGAGTCGCACAGAAGACATGTGAACGAAAAAGACGCTTAATAGTCACATCATTCCGCCTTCCATGTGTCTCTAAGTTTTTAATCAGTCTCACACGAAATGTCAACGTAAGAGGATAAAAAGACTAATAACTAATGTACCTGTGTGGTTCAGTGGCGAACACAGTGTTGCGTTTAATTTATTACTTCTCAGATTCTACGGACCTTGATGTTGATACTCAAAATGAACGCTACACTCTAAAAAAAATGCAACTTCTAAGGAGACACATAAGTCGGATCCTAAAAAGCCGCATTTTAGTGTCTCCTTTG